CCTAAACAAAACCTCAATTTCTGTCTAAATACTTATAAGAAATAAATCACAAGAATGTCTATTTCATAACAAGCACTAAATATGATGAAAACCAATCACGATTGTATTGGCCGTATGATTATGCTCTTGCTGCGTACACAAGCAAATGAATAATCGATGCAACTGTAAATTTGTTTAAATCAACATAGCCAAATTCAACGTGCCCAAATCAATACTGGAACCAATACGGTTGGTTCTTACAGCACAAGATGTCCTGTAAAAGTCCATTTAAACCAGCACGGGCATGAATTTTACATGTTTAAACTACACCTACACTTCAAGTTTTAGTTTTAGTTTCCTATTGTGAAGAAATGATGTTTGTTAACTTCCAACGTTGCCCAGAGTGTATCTTTACTGTACAGCTTCCTTGAGCAGCAGATTACTCATCACCTCAGGGAACTATAGCGACAGATCAATACATCTGGCATGTTGATAAACACATGTATACAGGATAAACCCACTTTAGGGCAAATGTACTCCATTTACAAGAAATGTCAAAGCAGTCTTGTCAGATACAAGGTCTTACAGAGGACAATCGATTAGAGAAGTCTTAAGACTATCACACAAGCTATTCAGGGCAAGGAAAATGTATGAAAGTGAGAAATTAAACGCTGAGGTCTGATGACGGCCTTGACTGAGTGCAGTTACTGTGAAGTCTGACTACAGGCAACGAAGGTTTGATATTTTTTCCTGTCAGGGAATAATCAATCTGCTAGCCATAACAGCTGGCAACAGAAGCTCCCAACTGTGTGTGTGTCCTACTGCCTAGGAATACTGCACTTCTAATTTTACCCACATGACTAAAAGTCGCAGCGGGAGAATGACAATTTGCATGAAATCGAAGGTAAAACGAACAATTACCATTCATTTTGTTCCACTGTGAAACTACCATCAGAAAGCATGGCATCAATGGAGTAAGACTGAAGATAAGATTTGTATTCAAATTAGCTATAGCTATCCATACAACGAGAGCGGATGATGGTGCAAGGTTGACGCAAGGTCTACAGCACCAAATAAACATGGTTCAAAAGGGCTTCGTCGTCGGAGAACAATATTATGTCCAGTCAGTCTGTTAATTAACAGGGCAAGGTGTTTGGCAGGGTGAGACACCCTAGAGAACACGGACGGCTCTTGCAGAAGTCCTGGGGGAGCTGAGCTGAACGGCACAACAACCACGCTAGCGGATGGTGCTGTCTGCTAATGAGGGTACCACCTGTGGCTTTATGAGACGCTTATCAGGATGTCAGGCCCTCACGTCCCCAGAGGACCGACGCACAGCCCGCCTAGCCCCTCTGTTCAACTGCAAGTGATGCAAACACATCAGAAAATATATTTAGGATCTATTTAGGATATCGCACGGGGGACTTGCTGTCAACAGGGAATAGTTAGCGTGCAGCACAGCATTTAGTCTTTTTATATGTCGACTACCTGAACTTTCAAGACTGACAGATTAACGGAGCTGTAGTGACGTGTTTGGGCAGAAATGTGCACATTCCTGATAGACTGTGTAGAAAACTGAACATTGCCCTGCTATCAGACTCTCGTTTGTATTTATTGCTTTGTTTAAAAGGTGTTGGCTTGTTGCTCGTTCTACGTATTGTTTACCGACAGTGCTATCTGGTTCGTAGTGTTTTTACGATAAACACCGCTACCACTCCTATTGTTGTTGACCCGGTCAGCTGACCCTGTAAACCACTGCGCTTTACACGGTCAAAACAACTAATTTATTATTATCCTCTCACTGAATGCTACCAAAATGCAGGTCTTTCTTGGACTCGGAGTGAATGTAAACCAGACGATTTAAAAATACCCCAACATAACCCGATGACTCTGTACTGGCCTGCGTGTTGGGCCGATATGTATTTTAGGAGCAATAACTTGCACAGTACACCGAGGTCTGGCCCTTGCTTTCTTGGTTGCTTTGCCCCGTGCAATCTTCCATGAAGGAGCCATCCATTGTACCCCTCTGATGACCCTAAAAGCTCCATTGGCACTATAAGAAAATCCACATTCTCCAACACATAACTGTAATAGTGGGAGTAGTATTTTTAAAGGTTTCTCAGAGGGTGTAACCGTGAACACGTGACTTCCAGGGGTAGTCAGTGTTTCTCGTCAGTTTGTGTTTCAATCGTGTTATTTAAACAATGTACACAACTGTAGCACTCAACCCTTAAGTGTAAACAAGGCTTTAAAAGGGTTACTGGAGAGATCCCAGGGTGACACCCACAACCGCAGAGAGAGCTATCATACAGTAAATTATCTTGCACAGTCAGGCTGGAACTGTGAAATCTCCAATGTAGGACCGAGAAGACACAAGATTTTTCTACGTGCATAGATATAGTTTTTCCACATTGTACTCTTAACATACATTGAAGTGGGCGGTTTTTTTTTTAAGTTGCCGTGGAGCCACCAAGTAAAGGACAGTAAAGAAATCATCTTTCATAGGACTCTTTTTTTAGTGTCGCTTTCATATTCATACTTTGCACATAACACCATTTGTTTATATTCTACGTGTGGTTTTCCATCGAGGACAGCTGTGGTCACAAAACAACACACTGGCCCGCCTGTGGCCAAAGTTATCTACCCTCAATGTAACATGTTGGCGTGTTTAAAATAGGCCAGGTGCAGATCTACAGGAATTAGGCTCCTTGAAATATAGTCAAACGGGTGCACCAGTGATTGCAGGTACACCAAACACCCTGAGAAACTTGATGCAGGAATGCAGGCGGGAGTAGTTATTCAAAACAAGTCAGGACAGGGGGATACCTAGCTCAGGTGTAAGCAGGCCAGACAATAGCAGGGGCCAGCTTGAACGACTTAAATTCCTTACTGCCCCGGATCCCCGCCTTTGTCCGCGTGCGCTCACCTGCATCGTCTCGTGCAGTACGCAACCTCAAATACACATCACTTCAAACTGTGCCAGTATTATTTAACATCCATGTGTCTCCTTTATTTCTCAAAGCCAGCCAAGTAAAATGCCATTAGACTACTTAAACACTGCCCTTTTTCTCCCACAAGGATTATTAAAGATTAATCCCACATTTTGACATCATTTCTTTTCTGAAAAACAAAATAGGCTAGAGTGCTAGTAGCCTAGATTGCCAATAAGCAGTTGTAGGCCACAGAAAACTGGGACATCATGTGAGTGGCAGTAAAACTTCATGTGTTTCTAATTATGGCAGAAACAAGATTAAAGCCATTACATATTGTTTCTCTGGAGGCAAGCCTATGATGGAAATCAAATGATCAATGGTGGCACTAACGTTGTAGTACCATGCACGAGAATAACAAACAGACCAAGGCCATCAGGTAATAGCATTATACCCTAGCTGTGGTTTGAGCATTGAGGCTCAGAGAGGAGCAGAAACACACAGTTGCAGATGTGAATCGTTTTAGAAAAGGACCGATATCCATTTCAAGTGTCAAATCAATTTTAGAAGGTCAGAAGATCCACCATTGTTTTTCCCCCATTAGGTATCTGAATCTGTTTTGACCACTAACCTTTTTAAAAGACAAACTGACAGACGACACAATACAATAAATGTTGGGGTAAACTGCCAGAGAAGATCTACACACTGTGTCAACAGCCATTTATTAATGGAGCCATGCTTTGAGATACTCTTCAGGCTTTGTCGAGGCTCCCAAACGGACGCATACACGGACGGTCGGACTGCGGCCGTGTAGTAGTTCTGTTTATATGACTTACACACACTTTCACACACTGTAGTGACTGTGTGGACAGTTTGCGCAGTCACAACAAATTGGGGGTACACAGATGTCAGCACAGAGCCTAAGCATACAATCTGACTGCGACATTTACGGCACGCAAACACTAGCAGACAGAGGTGGAGGTGTGTATGCGAGTGTCCAACTCCTAAAATTAAAAACCAACTAACAAATATCTAAAAGTCAACAAGTACCTAATAACGTGGCTACTGAGTGTGTATACCTCCTTTATTGGGTCTGCGTCAACAGGAAGCAGAGGGATACAATAGTGTCACCTTTCTTACCCAGAAAAGGGAATTATGAGATCATTTTAATGACGGTGATCAATAGTGTTCAACATAATAGAGACGTTTTAGACTGCTGATCATATGGCAGATAATATTCTCCATTCTGTTGTAAAGTTTTGAAATGAGAATCTAATTTCAATATAAACTGTCGGCCGTTTGTCCCTTATTATTGTCGATGGGGAGTTACAATACTTGCTGATCCTTTCATGTACACATTAGCAAATCATTGTTAAGTGTAAACGTGTATTGCTCAGGTAAGCTCTGCTCTGGCGGCGGAGAAGTGATTATTCAGGTATTTAGGGGGTTAATTACTACATCAAAAACACCCACAGACTTTTACTCACCTTTATAAAACACCACAAATATGTACAGTTAGTCTCCGTCTGCTCTCGTCTCTTGCCGTCTCACTCTCCGCCTGGCTGTAATAGTCTCGTCTGTCTCCTCCATCCTGTCCTGTGGATATCTGCCTCTCCTGATTTCCTGGTGCTCTCTGTTTCTCTGACACTCCTGTCTTTAAAGTAAACCGCAGTCTATAGAAAGTAACCAGCTGCCTGCCTAGAGAAACAGGAGTGCGTCTCCCAGCCGCACTCAGAAAAACACACAACACTCTACGCAGATCACTTAATGGCAAAATAAGAGTTTGCTTATTCTCTGAAAAGACAACCGTAACATTAAAGCTTTTATTTCCAGGCCAGAGGAAGCCGATGACGCGAGCTACTATTGGTCATTAAGTTTGGTCGTCAGCTGAGACAAGAGTTTTCCGAGCCCGAATCCTAGCTCTGCCTACAGACAACTCATTGTTTCCAGCTGTGGATAGTCCGACATGCTTAGCAACCGGGGCTGGACCCAGTGGCAACAATAAACCCCTTTCAATCACTTTCACATTTCGCCCCTTTGACACCGACTGCAGTCACACTGTTTAGGTCTGTGGAAAAGTTGCTTTCTCACCAGTTCCCGTCGCACAGACATCGCCTTGTTGGTTTCCATCACTGTCTCTGTTGGCTCATCTGCGAGTTTTACTTGGCCTTTGTGGGTGGTTAGCTGTCTCACACACACACACACACACACACACACACAGCATGTCCTGTTAACCAGGCAGCTGTGTCTTTCCCCCACCACCAACCAAACGACACAACTGTCCAAATACATGTGAGATCAAGTATCCCCCACCCACCCTAAAAAAAGGGGATGGGACGTGTCTGCGAGACTTTGTGGAAAGCAGTGCTAAATCAGGCCACCCGTTCCGCCCTCCTCTTAGAGACGAATAAACGAGCCCAAACACATCTCAAATGTGGTCAAACCAAACCAAACCCTAATGTTTGACTACCATTAAAGCTCTAGGTTAATATTTACAGAGAAAGATGGATCAGCAGAGGACCCAGTCGGTGATTCACCGCCACTGTAACGTGAGTGGGGACACCTGTGAAATAGCGTTACATGGAAATCATGGCTGACACAGGTGGTTTTTACAGGCTAAAAAACACTGCTTTTATTCACATTCAGGCCTCGGCAGCCACCGTACAGTGTGGCTTAAGGGCTTATAGTCGGACCACCTATAAATAGATAGGCAAGCTGGCGTCTTCTGTGTCTTAGCTTAGCTCGCTAGCTACAACACAGCCTCCCCTGGAGTCGACCACAGCGTTCACAGTTAGCTACAGGAATGTGGTTCACAAGGCTGAAAAGATGTTTTATTCGTCCTCATAGCTTGCCTAAATATTAACCAGCTCCACGTTGCTGTCGGGTTAAAATCCACCCAGCGTGAACCGAGCATCTGCCAATCACGTTGGACCGGGATTAACGATAACTGGAGATGTTTTTTTTTTTTTTGTTTGTTAGAGTCATCAACTGATCAAATGTTTCCAACACAAGGCCAGTGAGCAGCTAACGGTACACATAATACAACGGTAGTAAGAGAAAAAACAGTCAAAACAGCGCATACCGAGAGCCTATAAAGCTTAATGTGCGTTACAAACCAGCGGTGTTCAACTTTACAGCATTACACATTAACTAACTGTTACCTTGCCGCCGACTTGGAGCCAGTGTTAACTAACCTCACCGGGCTGAGAGGGCTCCGCGGTGAGCGAGGCTCCGCTTGACACACAAAAAGACTGGTAAAGAGCTGTGTAGTGCAGTTACCTCGCCGTCGAAATGTTTAAGGGCTTCTCTTCAAATTGTAGTGGGGCTCCTTTTTGTTTTCTTTTTTTTTACCGCAATGTGGTACGAATCCCTCAGCGAGTCCGTCTAGTGTTTTCATGGGTAGGCAGCAGTTTGGGACTGGAGAAGTGGGGGAGTTCCCTTCATTACGTCAGTGCTGCTGCCTTCAAGGACCATCCGCTAGTTTAGACTCCTTACGGTAACAGACGTGTGGGGGGGGTAAAGGTGTAATAACGGGTCGCAAGCAACTTTGGACACATGATATAATAGGTCTGTGATAGCGACACGTCCGGTTTTCAGACGCCACGATGGATTGCAAACCTCGTAGCACATTTTGTTTGATTTTATTGAGAGTTGAGACATATTTACACATTGAACACTCTGAAGTTGGGGCCCGGGAGGAGTATGTAAATGCAGCGTTGGAACAGCACATGCTCACTGATCTGAAGCCATCTATTGGTGAAGGGTTGAGCGTGCTGAATATTTTAAAATTGACACACTATACTATGCTTTGGCAATATCACTCTAATGGTATATTTAAAAAAAATAGAAGGATGGATTGCTGAGATCATAGCTGATTATTTGGCTAATTTAATCATCATATTAGAAAACTAACATGAATGTGTATAGTGTATATTTAGATTTAGAGGGCTTTACCAAATTTTAGAGTGAGACATAAGGGGGAGTTAATGTAATTGGTTGCCAATGATATGGTTTAAATACATATCACAATAATATTTTTTTCTATCACATTATATATTCAAATGTAAGTGCAATGCAATCAGTTGTGTTCCACTTTTGTGAATTTGCATCAGACAAAAAGTCTTAATAGATATGAAGCAAAACCTTCTTGACTCATTTTGTTACTTTTTAATTAATATGCTTCAAATTATGAATTTGGACAACTTTGAATTACGCATGATCAAATTATAATGATATAACTCCACTGTTGATGAAGGATTATATTGAATTGAAGACGGCAGTGGTGAGTCCTGAGAATGCACAGTGCTTTTGATACCACTGATCAGCTCATACTGCTTGATAAGATATAAAAACTAAGTTGGCGTATCTTGAATACCCACTGAGTACATTTTCTTCTGTCTAGTCTGACATTCACTGTCTCTATAGGCGGCTTTACATCCTTATCAGCATTACTGATATGTGACTCCTTCATGGATCAACAGTTGGTCTGTTTTAGTCACATCTTAGGACATAATCTGTTTAACTTGAAATAGCCTCTTTACTATGTAAGGTATGATTGCCTGACTCCCACTTAAACCTGCACTGCACAGAATTTTCTGTACCCTGCAAAAAACAAAGGTTTTTGATTGATTGGCTCCAGACAGACCAATCACCCCATTACCTCCTTCCTTTTACCAGCTCCCACTTCACTTGAGACTTGCTTTTAATTGCTCTTGTTTATTGAGGTTTTTGAATTGACTGGCCACATGGGACCTCCTGTAGAGTCTGGACTTTATTATCAGATTTTCCTGCCAAAGCTGAAAACTAAATAATGAATCCTAATGTAGAATTGGATTCAGAAAGAATGTTAACAGAAATTAAGAAAGAAAATATAAGCATTTTTTGTTATTCATATCTTAATAATGTAATATAATTTAATAATATAATATCTTATATTGCAAGTTGACATTTAAATGAGAATAGTTGATTTTTAGTCAATGTCAGTGTCAAACTCTGCTCTTGTATATATATATATGAAGCAACAACTGAAAATAGACGAAAGTGATACACACCTATAGAACAAGAATTTCTACCAAACTGACTGAAATATAATATGCAGACAAGTGAGAATTAAAATAAGCTCTGATGAGTTCTTACACTGGAACGTAGCGAATGTTCCATTGTGCCACTTTCTACTTTCACTTCAATCTTAAAGCTGTCAAAATGAAACTAGCTGTGATAATGAGTGATTGTATATCTACCTAACCTGTCAAACCAGTAAGTTGTGGTCAGAGAGCAGATAAGCAGAGAAAGAACCCAATCTCCCTATAAAACAACTTTACAATGACGATATTGATATGAAAATATTAAAACATTGTTAACCAAGTGGACCTTTGTAACCAATTTTACAACAATTACACTTTCATAGAGATGTGGTTCACAAAATACCTTTATAATCTGCCATCTGAATATAGTTTCATTTTCAATTCTTATTTTTTTTTTTTGACATTGTCAATCAATAGCAAGCACAAAATGTGTTTACATTTGAGGTCATGCTGCTGTGAGGAAATTGGGATAAACAAACTGGACTGGACTCTGCTCAGTCCCATTTTTGATACAAATGTTTTTGGTTTGGCAAAGTTTTGGGGACAGCTGCTCTTCAAGTCTCTTCTTGTGTCCATCATGCTGACTTTTCTTTGGAAATTCACTGTCTTTCATTTCCTCATCATCTCCTGCTGGTTACTTAATTATGTAAAATCTGAGGACAAGCCGAATATACCAGCAATCGCCAAATATTTCACCACCAAAGGGAGGTACGAGGAGGTGAACCCGTATCTCACAGAGGACATACTTGCTGTAAACAGGTCTATTTTACAGCCTCCATCTGCAAAATGTCAAGAAATGTATCTGACTGCAATAATAAGACACGGCACAAGATATCCAACAACCAAAAACGTCAAGGAGATGCAGCAGCTCTACAACATAGCCCAGCATAATGCCTCAGGCCAAGAGAGCTGGCTGCGCGAAATCCAGACCCAGTGGACGATGTGGTACACTGAGGACATGGACGGCCGACTTGTACAGAAAGGTGTGAACGATCTAAAGCATCTGGCCGTCAGGCTGTCAAAGCTGTTCCCCTCACTCATTTCAGAGGAGAAGCTCCGAGGTGGATTCATCCAATTCATAACCAGCTCAAAGCACAGGTGTGTCAACAGCACACTGTCCTTCAAGGCTGGACTGACAGAGCTGTGGGCTATTACAGGTACGACCCTGATGATGATGTTATTGGTATTACCCACCTACATGCACTTTCAATAAAACCTGTTTCTTTTTCCCACCCAGATAGGGAGTTCGACCATTCGGTGAATGATACTCTCATGAGGTTTTTTGACCAGTGCACCAGGTTTGTGGAGGAAGTTGATAACAACAAGTCAGCTGTGGTAGAGGTCAACAAGTTCAAGCAGGGACCAGAGATGAGGAGGGTCCAGGAGAAGATCGCAGACCGTCTCAGAGTCCCGCACAATCTTATCACGCATGGTCATATACCTGCAGACACACTACCTTTGGATGCTGTTGAGTGTGTTGTGTGCATGTAGTCTGAAGTATTTTGCCTTGGATCCATGCTTGCAGTAGTCTCAAACTGCACGCTGTGTATTTTAAATGACCACTGATCAAGACTATTTACAGTATGTGATCCAGGGATATTACTCATGAAAAGAGTAATTCCAAATTCTTGAGTTAGTTTGCCTTTAATCCAAACATAGCAACATTACAGTACTGAATGTGTGTCACAGCCTGATACTGACTGTAGACTCAGTGCATACTGATTAGATACTGTATATCAGCTTATATGTATCCACTGGGTGGAGCTGTTTTCTAATTTAGCAGTACTGAGGCTCCTGCAGCAGGTTGTGGTGAACCTTGTCATATATGGCCTTGAATTAGTAATATCGGCTTCAAACAGGTGCAATAATCACATGCTTACTTCAGTTTTAGATAAAGACAAACTACTTTCTGAGCTGAATGTTTCTGTACTACATTAGACAAGCTGTTGTTGTGTATGCGCTCTCTAAGTGCTGTCTAGTTCGAGAGGATGTCACTTTTCTAGCATCTCGGGTTCTTTAATAGTTGCATATTTCAGTGTAATTTGACCACTAAGCATTTTACACCAACCTCTCTCCTGCAGATATGACTGAGGCTGCATTTTACTTGTGTGCTTATGAATTTGCAATCAAGGAGGAGAACTCCCCCTGGTGTCAGCTCTTTGATGAGGACGATGCACAGGTAGGAGAAATTA